ACATATGATTTAACAGTATTCACATATTTGTTGCTTAAATCTTGAAATAGTAAGGAGGAGAAGGTAGGTTATGGCCAGTTGTTTTTCTACACCTAGTCCTACCGCAGCACCTGAAATCACATTGCATGTATTAATCATTGAGGTATCCTGAACATATAAAAAAGTATTTCCCGAGGAAGTGTTTGAGTTTCTTTTTGAAGTTGTACAAGCCTGTTGTGTTTCTTGGATGTATTGGTAATTTGTTGAAGAATTGTCTACCTGAAGAGAATGGACTCTCTTGGTATAATGTGCTTGTGCACATTGGTTGATGAAGGATACAAGTTTGCATTGAGTTTATAGGGCTTGTAAGCTTGGGTTAAATCTGTAAAGTGTGTCATTGTTTAGTAGATTTTTCTTTGCAAACATGATAACTTGATAAATAAAAATACAAGGCAGTGGAAGTGTGTTAAGGTTTTTGAATTGCAATGTACAGAACTCTGTTTTTGTATTTGTTATTGTTTGAATGATTATCGTTTGTATTTTGAATGTTTGTTTAGCCTCTGGTTCTTGGCCCCATATTATCTTATATTTGAAAATAGAGTACACATTTGCAAAGTACACTGTTTGTGCTGTGTCAATGGTGCTGTTTCTTCTACTTCTTGTTATTATTATTCTAAGAGCATAATTAAGTTTGCTCAATTTTGAATTAATATGTTGTAGGTGTGAGTTGTATTTGAGGTTGGATTGAATGATGATTCTCAAAAAAATTTGTTTCTATGGTTGTTTGCTTGTGTGATGCTGTTTCCTTGTAATGTTAATTTGGTGAGTATTGTTGTGTTAAGTGGGAGCTGTGGAAGGGTATTGTGGTTGTTTTATCTTGGTTTAGGATTAGTTTGTTATGGTGGATCATTGTATTAAGTTTGTTGATGGCTAAATTGTCTTTGTCTTGCAAAGCTTTGGTTGTTCTTTCTTTGAATATTATATTAGTGTCATCAGCAAAAGGTATGGTTTTGTTGTTTTCCATTATTGATGGTAGGTCATTCACAAATAAAAGAAATAAAATGGGGCCTAGTGTGAATCCTTGCAGGACCCCATATTCACATCCCTTGGCTTGGAGTGATGATTTTGTTGTCTTTTTGGTAAGGTAATACTACAGTTTGTTTTCTGTCTGATAGATATGATTTTATCCACTTGTAAGCAATTCCTTGGATTCCAAAAGATTCTAATTTTGACAATAGAATTGTGTGATGTATCATGAGAAAGGCTTTTGACAGGTCAAGAAAGAGACCAACAGGAATTTTTGTTTGCTCTAATGCCATGAGGATTGCATTTACAAGGTGAATAGAGTAGTTTCAGTTGAATGATTTTCCCTGAATCCATGTTGTGAGTCAGTGATAATGTTACAGTGTATCTAGTAGCTTTTTAATCTTTCATAGAACAGTTTATCTAATAATATTTTTTACTTATTCACGCCAATCGGCTTTGTACATATAGGTAACAATTTATATAGCACACTGCACAATCACATCCAATACACTATAACAATTTCTAAATACAACCAATTGATGCATATAATTAAATTAATTAAATTAAATTGAGATTATAAACCGTAAGTATCACATCATATCGTTGTATTTACAATCTTTGTAATAAATATTTTAAACATAACACATTATCTGTTGTGAATAATTTTGTTTATCTGTATCGAGAATGATGATGTGGAAACCCCATAGAAGTTTATGCTGGAACAATATTCATTTACTAGGTTCGCTATTCTATTTTTCGGACCATAATATACATAATTTTTAGTAGTCTTAATTGAATTCAGTAATCTATACGATCTCAAGCCAGGTTTTGAATAGACAAATTCAAATTGTTCTAATATTTCTTGGCATTCAATTTCGCAATTAATGATCGTAAAAAAATATATAAGATCTGCAATTTGTCTCTGCTTGGAAAGTGAGATAATTTTGGAAAAAACTTGACAAGAGTGAAATTGACCTATAATTCATTACATCTTGTTTGTTTATAGGTTTAATTACAGTAGTTTGAAATATATTTGGGAAGGAGCCATGAGTTAGTGATTGGTTGTATAAATATGTTAATGGTTTGATGATATATGGAGCAATTTTTTTTTTTTTAAGAAGTCTGGAATGTTGTATATCCCAGCGGATTGTTTATTTTGCATTTTGTTTATAATTTGCAATATTTCCTTCTCTGTTGTTTCTGTGATGTACATGCAAGAAAGTAAGTTTTTGAAGAAAGTTGTAGTGTTTGGATATGTTGTTTTTAGTAGTCTACCAGCACTTTGAGAAAAGTGTTTGTTGAATATGGGGGCTGTTTCATTATGGTTTGTTATTCTTCTGTGTTCATTGACTAGTTGAATATTTTGTGCTTTGTTATTTGCTGGTAATGTCTTTTTTATAATATTCCACCTAGCTTTTGTTTAATTTTTTGGATTTTTTATATACTCATCATTTGTTTGACTTTTCTTATAACTCTTATGAGTATGGCTGAATATCGCTTATAGTAGTTGACTATTTGAATATTGATGACAAGTGATCTTTTGTGAGGTGTCTTTTTCTTTCACAAGGAATTTTAATACCTTTTGGTATGCTTTGTTGTTTTGTGATACTGTAGTGGATGCGAGATGTTGAAATGTGTTTGATTGTATTAAAGAAGGTGTCAAACTGTAGGTTGATGTCCGATATTTCATATGATTATTTCATATGAATATTTCATATGATTCATTAGTTAACAGTGAGATGATATTGTTCAATTCATTACACTTTGTGGTATCCTTTATTAGGTTTGCTTTTGGTGAGGTGGAATGTATGTGAAGAGTGAGTACTTGAGCATTGTGATCACTGAGCCTAGTGGTGATTGTTGTATGTGTGTTTTGTTTTGTGTAAAAGGATTTGGTCTATTGCTGTTTGGGAGTTGTTTGACTGCCTGGTTGGTGCATTGATTATTGCATCTAAATTATACGAGTGTACTAAGTTTATTAGATTGATTGTGTGTTTTTCATGAGTAATACTAGCTGTAGGTAGAAAGTTAATGTTTATATCGCCACAGATTATGATAGAATAATGAGCCTGCTTTGTTAATTTATCCAAGATTAATTGTAAGTATTTAATGAATATTTGAAGGTTTGCATCAGGTGGTTGATAGATGCTTAGGAGGAAGATGATCAGCTTTGGAATTTGTACAATTGTACATTTAATGTCTGAGTTGCATGTTATTTGTTTGAATTCATTTATTGTTCGGAATTGCAGTTGTTGGCAAGATATATGCATGTGTCTCCATACATATGATTGATATTTGTGTGTTTGGCCCTATGACAGAGGTAACCAGGCAAGTGGAAAGCTGGTATTTGTGTCATTTTTATTTGATCCCCTGCGAGCCAGTGTTGAGTTATACAGATTGCATTAGTGTGTTTTATGTGGCATGTTAGCACAATTTGTATTTTGTGTATTTTGTTTTTTAAGGATTGAATGTTGTGATCTTAAAGGTGGTGTGTTTTTCAGTGGTGACTGGAGTAGAAGTGATTGTTTGCTACAAGTACATGTATTGAATAAGTTTTGGAACAGCATGCAGGTTATAGGAAATGGTTTGAGAGGGTTTTGAGAGAGAGTTTTGGGAGATTGGAGGGTTGGTGGCTAAGACAGCATGGGTGGGAGTGGGAGTCACATGACTAGGAGACGAGGCTGCGTTTGGAAGCATAGGAGAAGGGGCTGGTGTGGAGGGAGTAAGGACTGATGTGGATGGAGCAGGGGATTGGTGGAGGTGTAGAGGGTGCAGGAGGTGGTGATAGCAGTGAAGGAGCCTGTAGGATGTGTGTGGCTAGCTTGCATCCTAGAGCATGTTTGCCAGCTTGCCTCAGGTGGAGACCATGCAGGGTGAATAGTCTGCGAGTTATGTTGTTGTTTCACTTCGTTGTCTTGTCTTGTCCTTTTTCGACTTGGGTACTTCATTTTCCTTGTTTTATTTTTCATTTCATATTTGACCCTTGTGCCAAAGTGCATAATTATTTAATATTATCCATATATTTTGAAAATTGTACTGTAAAAGATACAGTTGAGGTGTGGATTGTATTCATACAACTGATTGAAACTTGTTGAAATTATGCTTCCTTTATTACTTGCTTTCCTAACTTTATATTGTTTACAAATGTCATAATATGTTCCCTGCCACGCATTTTCTTGCTTTACTACACCTTTGTATGGGAGTGATTTTGTCTGTAGTATGTGTGAGTGCCAATGGTTGTTGACACACTATTCCAGGAACATTGAAACTTGTAGCAATATTTATTGAAAAGTATAAAGAGTTTTATTGATTTATAAAAATGAATGAGGTGAAATGGATTGAAGTGACCTTTTTGCATCTGCTAACACTATAATTAATCATTTGTCACTAATCTTCACTGTACAATCTTTACTGTATGAAATTACACAAGTTTCTCGTCATGTAATGAAATAAACTTTTTTGTTCACTTCCTGTATTCAGTGCAGATCTGTGTCCTTGGCTGCAGAAATGTTCCATTTCCAACTAAGTAGAATAGTATTGCATACTATTGTTGTTCCCTCTGACATGTTGTCCACTTACTTTGTGTTAGTTTGCTCTATACTTTCTGCTTGTTATTTCATTACATAATTTTTAACAAAATCTGACCTACTTGTTTGTTTTCTTATCCCCATTGGTGTTTTCCAGAGTTTTTTGTTTTTATTTGTACAAGCCACAATTTGGTTTGTGTAGAGTTATGAATGTTTTGAAGTATGTCCTGTCTTTGTAAGTCTTTCTTTTTGTGTTAAAATATTCTTCACATTACAGTCTTTGTCTGTAAGCATGATATGCCTTTGATTGTGTATTCTCTTTTTGTAAACATATATTGTTTTGTTTTTCATTGTATTTCATTGATAATTTGTAAATAATTTAATAGTATCTGAGGCAAAGTCACGTGTCAATAGGAAATTGGTGTTATAAATGTAGAAAGTAATGGGAATTGGAAATGAGAGGATTACTGTATCTATATATTTGTGAATTGATGTTGAGTCTCTGTCAGCAATGTAGTTTGAAATGAGAAACTGAAGTGCAAACCTGTGATGAAAAAAAAAAAAGAAAAAAAAAGTGTGTAGGTTTTGCAAAAGCAAATACGAGGGACATTGGTGTGTGAGATTGTGGATGCTGATGCATTGTTGAACAGTGGCTTAACTTAAGCTTGATGAGAATTTTGTGTAATTTATAATTTGTGTGCATGATATAGAATGAGGTGTGGTTACTTTGTCTGTTCCAGGCTTTTTGTATTTTTTGCTGCTGTAGGGACATTTTGAATTGTGTTTGTTGAAATGGATTGAAATGTGAATGTTAAGGATTATTTTTCTGTTTCATGTTGAGGATTGTTTTGTCTTTGTTTCATGGTTGTTTATATTTATTTTCCTGTGAGAGTAATGTTTAATTT